TAATAATAATAGGCTGGAAAAAGTTAAATGTAAAGTTATTGAATGAAATAATTTCCATGTAAAATTTTATCCTAACTGTTAAAAAAATAAAATATTTTGTTGTTTTTGTCAGAAGTGAATCTAAATTGATAAACTTAATTAATCTGCATCCAGAGATCTATTGACTAATATTAATTTAAAGTAAAATGTCAAATTAAATTAAATTAGACCAGATAAAGTTTAATTAATAAAAACTGTGTTCACTTATTTGTACTGATGTTAATGTATTTTTACAATCTTTTAAATGTTTGACATATTTTATTTGTTACACTCTAAATTAATATTTCACACATATTGTAATGAATAAAAATATATGAGGTAATTATTTTCTTATTAAAATGCATCAATAGTTGTTTCATTAAATATTTTATATTTTAAATTGTTTTTCATCCTGAATCAACTGTAGTAAATTAAATAAGTTAAAATTCAGACATCAGATTAAATTACTTTATTTTACAGTTTGATCTGTTGATTAAACTGTAAAATAAAATAAAATAAAATGAAATAAAATAAAATAAAATAAATCACTGACCTTTGATTCTCTCCTTAATGTTTCTGATGAGGAATAAAAAGATATTTTTTTTCTTTTCCTCTCAGATAAACGTTGGATTATTTCTTGTCTTCAGTGGGACTCCTCTTCATCTCTCTTCATCTCTCTTCATCTCTGGACTCCAAACTTCTCCTCCTCCTCTTTTTACATGTTCAGCTTGTTTGATGTTTCCTGACTCCTCCCTCTGATGGGACTGAATCTGATTGGACGAGGTCTTGAATGTGATTAAGCTTCATTTTTTTTATTATTATTTTAGTCTGATTCCTGCTGAGAATGATGATGATGATGATGATGATGATGATGATGATGGTCTCCACAGTACAGACATCATTTGTTGACATCAATCTGTTCAACTTTTCTTTACATTTATTGGAGAAGAGGAAGATTAAAAAACACAAACAGCACAAAGTGTTTAAACACCAGTCCACAGATCAGAGGTACAGTATATTCTGTATATATTGTATATCTGTGGCTTCATAAGGTCAAAACACATCTCAGGTTTATTTAGATGTGGATTTTTTTATGCAGTGAGGAAATCTGAGCACAGACTTTGACATAAACACAAGAATAAAAGTGAAAAACTGACGATTCTCCACTGAGGGGAAGAAATAAAAGTCAAATCTTTGTTTACTTCCAGCATTTCTTGTTCCATCAGTCACAGGTTCAGAGAAAATCCAGTTTATTGGTTGAGTCAAAACAAACGTTTAGATTCTGGATTTGATTGTGTGAAAGTTTCACAAGCTTCACACTGACATCAGTCAACACATGTCTTTCTGTAGGTTTTGTGCTTTTTCAACAATTCATTTATCAAAACGTTCAGCTCCTTCAGGGTATTTCAGCTACAACCTTTTGTATTTCAGCTCTTTATACTTTTTTAGCTATTTCACTTTTTAGGCCACATTTTTCCATTGAAATGTGGTCATCCATTAAAACCCTTCAAAACGATAATAAATCTTTAAACCTTTTTGTTCTGCTGCTGCTCTGTTTAACTGGCTAAGTTGTTTTCTGCTATTTTCAGCTGTTGATAGCAAAAATTAGTTTTTCAAATTAAATTCACATTTTGGTGGCCATTTTAGCTTTTGTTGCAAACGTGCTTTTTCTGCTTATTTGTGMTAATTTCAGCACTTTAGTTAGATTTTATCAGATTTACTGCCCATTTTTGCATTTTAGCTGTTTTACAGCAACTTTTTATACTTTTATTCTTTATTTTTTGGCTCATTTTTTTACACCAACGACACAGTCTGTGTACTACATCCAGCTTGTTTCTATGACTTTTAACTTGTTTTTCTACCAATTTTAGCTTTTATTTCCTACAATTTCACCTATATTTCAACACTTTTCTGTTATTTCTCCACTAATTTCTACTTTTTGTACTTCTTTCTGCTTCTTATTACTGATTTAGGCTTTTTTCTTTCAGTTGCATTAAGACAATTTTAGCTGCCTCTTGCAACTTTAGGTAAAGTTTAGCTGTTTATAAGCTATATACAAAATTTGGTGACCTATTATGTTTCTTTCATCTCCTCAAATTAAACTCAGATTAACTCTTTTACTAA